CCATGAAAATGATACCCATGGCATCAAATTGACAGCTATGTGGCAGAAAACCTCACCCTTTAACAGCAAATCAACTTGAGAGTACTGTTAAGGTTTCAAATAGAAGGACACTATACTAAAAATTGCAAGACAGGTCTTACCATAGAATCATTCATCTGGTACCAAGTGCCATTAGAAGCTCTGACGTAGCAATAGTAGTGACCAGAGTTTGAAGAGTACCCAGAATGCACCAGTACAGAGTATAAACGGTACTTTATAGGTGGACCCTACATTTTTTCAACATGAAATAGAAAAATTCTTTTATCATTTATTTTGCATTACAACAAGAACATGTAATTGTTATTGCCAATTCAGGAATTAAAGTGGACTTTTCAACAATTTTGTTTGTAACTTGAGGTTCAATTTTTTTTCCTTCACATTTGATTCAAATATTCTTATTGTTAACCTTTTAACTCCCATGTTGACCAAGACAAAAATTCTCCTTTTAATATCAATACAATATCAACCAGATAAGTAATGAGAACAAAGAAAAATATCAATTTGGGGATAATTGGTTGATCCAATACTAAATTCTCTGAACTAACATCATAAGAATTGTGTGGTTGACAGTAAGAAGGATTACAAATTTGATCTGGGAGTTAAAGGGTTAATTTGAAGCAAAAGAAAATAAAGATCAAACTGGTTTGAAAAGTTCTGATCCAAAAGAAAAAACTTGAATGATATGTTACATATTCTACAGTTCCCTACTATCCTTAAATCATATTTCAAAAATTCTAATCCAAGAAAAAAACTTGAATTATATGTTACATATTATATGCTTTTATTAATACTATCCTTGAATCAATTTGAAAAATTCTGATCCAAGAAAAATCTTGAATTATACATGTCTCATATTCTAAAGTTCCCTTTGATCCTTGAATCAAATTTGTTTTTTTACCTGGGATGTCATAAAAGGTCTTAGGTTCAGATATTCTGCGTACTCAACATGTTTTGATATTTTTCCTCCAAAACTCTGATTGTAGTCAAACCTGCATCACAAAGAATCGACAAACATGAAGAACTAAAGTCAGATCCATGCTGCCACAGAAACATGTAAAATTTTTAGCCATGACAATTAAAAATGATCAGAGCAAAGGCAGGATAATTTTTCTTCCATACCTTTTGAGTTGCAAAGTTAAAATGTTTGGTGCACGATGAATCAGGAACTGTTTGTGGGCAGGGACCTTTCTTTTGCATCTAAAAATAACATCACCAAAAGGAGTTATTGAATGTAAGAGAGTATTTTTATTAAAAATAACTAATTGGTCCCTGGGAGCTCAAATGCATTTAAGCAATTTCTGTCAAAGCCTCTACCTTCATGTACAGCTCATTACCAAAGCAAAATAAACTTTCATAAATGGAAATTAAACTTCCCCCTAACATTTTCTTTTTTAGCTGAAGATTGATGCAACTGTTGTGCAAAAATCAACCTTTTGAACCCAAAGAGTGACTAGCATCTCACTTCTCCTTACAATATAACCTCTCAATCATACATTAAGGTCATGAGAATGAAGGAAATGATCACCAACTAAAGAAGCTTTTGATTGTGAAACAAATTCTCCTAGTTGGAACCTTAGAAAATGTATAAAGGACAGTGTGGAGAGTATGCATACTGATGTTAGGCTGTAAAGGGTTAAAACCTATGTAACGTTTACAATAAAGTCAAACCTTGGACACATGTAAAGGTTCTCCCCATCCAGTAACTCCAGTTTGACAGATCGCTGAAGAGCTTTTTCCACTGAAGGCACATGCTGGAGAAAGAAAGAGAAAGCACACGCATTGAAAGAGAAGACTACAACATAAATCTTTTTAATAAACTATGAAATTGTAGCCATTGTTGACACCAATTTTCCAGCTCTATAGATCTTTGACCACATTCAGTCTGCATGCTGTGACATTAAAAACAAAGAACTTTTGCTAAGGGGGGTAATCAGAATTTTATCTGACATTTAAGGAACTGAATATGAGAGTGATCTTTGCAGTAATGAACAGTAGTGAAAATAGGACCTGAAATTGAACATATTTTCTCAACTTCTTATAATAAGTAATGTTCATTATTGTGAAGATTGCTTTTATATTCTTTTCTCTATCCACAGTTCACATATATGATTTTCATATATTCACAGTCTTATGAAAAGGAACCATTGACGAAATTAATCAAAATGAATTAAGTATTCACATGTTCAAGTGCAAGTGCTAATCTCTATGATGATGGCTTTAGTTTTGCATCACACCATCCAAAAAGATAGTGCAAGTGTTCAGGACTCAGCCAGGGAGTGAAGAAAAGAAAAAAAAATGTAACTCCATTTCAAATCACTTTTGATTTCCAAATTCAATATTGCTCTAAAAATTCCTAACTTTATGCTGCAAACTTAACAGGATGGCAATGTTGATCTACTTTCGCAGATGAAAACTCCAATATCTTTAATTTTACTACTCCATGCAAAAATCAATAATGATCCACTTGCTAAGTCACTGGATATCAAAATCCACTTGTTTACCTTGATATCCAACATAATATCCATGAGTGGATCAAATGTGTTTGAGTTGTTCTTGCATTTTAAACAGCAAACTAAATATAGGGAGAAAAAATTGCAATAACATTTATATTATTAAAAACTGGATCATTGGATCCAATCACATTCAAAGTCGTAGTGTAATCAACCAATCACAATCAATTTCAATTTCAGAGCGACATTAAATAATTTATGCTTCCTTTGTCAGTCTTTTATAACAAATTTTCTCTTCCTTTCATAAATTGGCTATTCTTCTTTTCTCAGAAATGATAACATTTATGATTAATTGGTAATAAGACTTTGTGTAGTCTAATTGGGTCTGTTATCATACTTAAAATAAACAAATCAGACTCCCGCTGTGTGGTAATCCAATTTTTGTCATAACACCTATGATTACTGACTAAATTGGACTCCACTCAGTCCCATTACCATTACATATCAAGATGATAACCTCCACTTGATAAGTCTGACTTTTCTCAATACATTTCCACGAAGGGCTAATGCTCGAAACATCAGCTTTTTTACTCTTCATGGTAGCCAATTTATGTTTTCAACACAGTTGTTAACACTAAATTACCTGTTATACTCTTCCACCGACGCAGCAATACAGTTTCTTTACAAACTTACCTCCTTTACTCTCAGTATATTTTAGCTAAATAATGTGTTGACAGAAAAAGGGTTAAAGATTGAAACATCAAGCATGTGCATACCTTGGCTTCTGTAGTAACCTCCAAACACCTGGTGCACCATTGTTGTTTGTTTCGACATTCTGTCGAGTCTGTATCCAAAAAAAAAAAAAAAAAATCATTGTACATATGAAGCACAGTCACCATTTGAGTCTTCTTACTATATGTAAATAATTTGAGGCTTGAAAATTATTAATCTGACTAGATCAAGCAAGACATCTGCTCAAAAACCTGGAGACCCAAACCTCTGGTATCCACAGAATGTGGAACTAAGGATATTGATCTACCACCACCCCCTTTTTTTGTATTTGTAAAACACCTGACCCACTCACAGTACCTTCCAGTAAACTTTCCAGTATACTACAAGGTTTCCTCAGCAAGACTGAAAGAGCAAAGTATTCTACTCAAGAACACATTGTAACTGACCCCATCAAAGCCATCAGATGATCTTTGCCTTTTCAGTTTGAAATTCACTGTATTAACAGTTACCCCAATAAGTCTCCTTGAAAGTCTCTGATAGAGACTTTTCTTAAACTTTGTTTGGTATTTTTTTGTATACTCACTTTTCTGTGTAGCCATCAGCTGCCAGGCAGCTCTTCTGCATGCCGTCAATTACATATCTCAAAAACTCATGTGCATCCTCCTGATGTCCAAATCTTAAATGTTTGGCAATGACTACGAGAATAACAATATCATTACATCTCATAGTTAGAACATAAACCATGACTGTTCAATATTGGAGGCCATATTTCACTGTACAGCCCTCTAAACATCGTACTACCCTTTGTTTTCTCAGTTTGTACTCTAAGTTACAGAGCCTCACTTTTTTTCTTCTGAGATTTATGGCCCACATGCCCTAGCACTTGAGCAATAAATCCAATTGGAAAAGAATTAGTCTGTAACTTTCAGTTAAGACCAAGAAGATGAGGTTAGCATGAGGTATTTAAAATTAAATTCAAAGGGAAAAATTTGAGGTTGCTTAGTTAGTAAAATAGACAATTATAATACATGGCTGAATGATAGATACCAAACTTATCTGCAAGTGTAGACAATATCTATCTCAAGTGAGCAAAGTAAACAAATGTGAGATTTCACACACACAAGATGACCAATTTGTATCCACAAGATGACATGTAATGTTTTTATAGATTAATATCAATTATATATCCAGTTCAAAGATGACAGACTAAAAGAAGAGTACCAAATACTGAGATTGCCGCACCTAAACTCAGCTTGATAAGAAGCTACTTCTGTCAACTTCCGACACAAAAGTGATGCAAGTTTTCATTACACAAAAAATGTATTCCTTTCCAAAAAAAAAAGAATTGATCCAACCTTATATTCATAAATTGAAAAGAGAAACCCTTTTTCCGGTGGCAAAATCAACGTGTCCATAAACCTGGTTATGATGACAACATTGTTTTCTTAGCCACAAAATACATTAGTATGTATGCTGCACCCTGAGAAGATACCATATTGTTCAAAAAAGAAAAATTATTGCATTTTTTCAACATCTGTGTAATAGAGTGTAATTGTGTTTAATAACTTCCCCTTACAGATAAGTTTTTGTCTTTCAATCACCTTTTACTGCATAATATTCATAAGACATAAACTTACATTTGAGTTTTTGAATGATTGCCATTGGTTTGATTGCTTCTCCTTGATGGTGACCAAAACTTCGCACAATGTGTTTTTGTAATTCACACAGCATACAAAAACCAACTGAACGACCTGTTGCAATAATATTTATTAAATTATAACAAGTCATTGTTAGTTCACACTTAACAGGGAATAAACCATTACATGGAAAATTATCATGTTTTAACAGAAAAAATTTAAATTCAGTATTCCTTGGTCTTCAAAAAACTGGGTGTTCAGCCTAATCTTTTTGGCCCCTTTCACTCCCAATATCTCGATGATGATTACTATCTGCCATACATTTCATATTAAGTTTGTTCCGAGAATTTGGAATTAAATCTAATGATAGTTCCCTTGTTAATATTTTTTGACATTCTCATTACTTGGCTGCTTGATATTATATTGATACTGTAAGGAGAAATTATGTCTTGGTCACTCATGAGAGTAAAAGGGTCAATCACAACCAGAGCATAACTGTTGAAGGGAGAAAGGTGTAAAGTTGAAAAATGTTATCACCTCATTGGAAAAATTCCACAACAATTGTGGTTTCTATGACTGAAGTTGTTGTGATAATTGTTTTTTCTTTTTCTCATATAGTTTACAACTACATCTCCTTCTCAAATGCGTACAGTAGATCATGACCGACAAAAAACAGAGAGATAATGACCTCAGGGATTTAATGGCTCATCTTACTGAATATCTGCTGTGTTAATGTGCCTTAGGAGAATTGAAAACATCTTTGTGACCATAAGAAATTTATTTGTTCCTTTCTCAACCTTTAATCCCTAAGACTGACTAACATCTAATTTCTCCTTACAATATCACCTCTGAATCACACAGCAAGGTCATGAGAATAAAGGAAATGATCACTAACTAAAGAAGCTCTTGATTTATAAGACAAGTTCTTCTTGTCAGCACCTTAGGAATTGCATAGAGAACAGTATGGAGAATATGCATACTGATGTAAGGGTATAGAGAGTTATGGGTATAGAGAGTTATTATGAGGCCATTCCTTTACACAAATAAAGCAGCACCAGAACTAAGTTAACTCAAATTGTTAATAGAAAGATACTAGGGAACTCGAGTCAGTTTATACTGAAATGATAAAAAAAATGTAACTTCAGAGGAAATGGCAAAGTGGAAACTAGCAGTTTTTAATTCCTTCTAAATCTTCAAATTAGACCAGTCTCAGAGGAAAGGGGGTGGCCAGGATTTTTCATAGTGGGGGCTTACACACAGGGTGCTAACCAGATTCTCATGTCGACATCTATTCTGTAGTTTACTCAATGGAACAAATCAAGGCTTACAAAGGAAAGTCACAGGCACCCCAGGAACCCCTTGGCTATGCCCTTAGTGAAGAGGGACAAAACAATCCAAGATGTACAGACCCATTGAATTAGAAAACATTTTGCAAAACAAGATTTGAAAACGGTGCCAAGACTGCAGCCTTCTGAATTCATAGGAACTTCATTGGATATACTCAAAAGTCATCAAACTTTTTGGAAATTTAGGAAGAGGGGATGCTTGTATCTGATGCAGGAGAACCTGGCAGGTGTTTAAGTGTATTGTTTTCCATTAATTTTTCCATTGCTCCTTGACAGAGCTATACAAAATAGTGTTTCAAGAAAGAAAGTTGGAGAAAAATATCTAACAGTTGGATTCAAAACACTGGTAAATCATTCAAATAAAACATGTTCAGACAGGCAGACGATTAATTCACTAATTGACCCCTGGTTCATCAGTGAAGCATGTAAATTATAAACTGATTGGATTATCAACAATGTGAATGACAAGTAAACATTTCAGATTATTAGGAACGAACATTTACACATTAAATATGAAATTTTCCCAAATGCTTAAGAAACATCTACCCAGTAGAACACTTACATTTTTCGCTGTGGGCTTTCGACGCCAGATAATTCACCAATGGTGCAGTGTAGGTGAGAACTTGGAGAACGGAATTCAAGAAACATGTATTTCCCATGTTGCTCAATCCTGGCCCAACTCTTCGAACCTGCTTCCAGTATAACTCAACTTTTTCCACAGGAAATAAAATCACCTTTGGCGAGGGCATCTCCTCGTTTGAATTCTTATCCGGAGATCGCAACTGTTCCTTGCAATGGCCGTTTGCGTGATTTGTTGACGGAGAATTTGCCGGAACATATTTCTTCCTCAGATTCTCGTATTGTTCATCAGGTTTAGAAGCCGGTTTGAATTCAATTCGTTGAAGCAGAACCTTTTTTGAGGACGAAACAAGCTTGGCATCGAGATCTGACGCTAGTTTGTTCGTGATAAGCGAATCTTTCGAAAAATTCGTTACCGACGGCATAACTTGAACTGCAACGGAACTCATTATCACACGTGGACAGAGATTTACGAGGCAAACCAGCGTAGAATAAATTGATTTTCTCCTCGAGAGAAAGCTATTTGGTACACCATTTCAAATTTCTCGCTTATATAAGTACCAAACGGCCAAGCTTCTTCAAAGTTTGAACTTGATGTTTCTTGTTGTCTTCTTCAGTTGTCTAACCACTTCTAAAAGTTCCTTCCGATTTCAAATGCGGCTTGTAGTGTTCCTCGTTTTAAATCCAAAGATTGTTTTTGTTGACACGGCTCTCAATCTAAGAGCAATGTGATTTCCGCTAAGAATACAGTTATTGGGCCAGATAATTACATGAAATATCTAAAAAAAACTTAGCAACCGCAGGAAACTGGCAAAAAAATCCGTCGAAAAACAATATAAATAAACAGTCGAGATCTCGATACTCGATAGTGAAATGGCCGCTGGTAGTCCCATGATGCTTTACTTCGTACTGACCACGCGCCACGCGAGTCCACACACACGTGTGTAGCACAGAAGACAGTAACAGCAACAATAGTAACAACTAAATCAACAGCTGTTTAGAAATGAGACATCAG